GCCCGTAGGAGCTGGAGGCGGGCAGATGGGGGTGGTGTGCACTGCACAAGGGGCCTTGTCTGGTTCAGGGCAAAGCATACCTATGGGGGGCTCCAGTGGGAGGGACCGTGGCCAGGATGTGGGAGGGCAGGAGGGAGGTTCTGCGGAGTGCAGGGGGAGGGGGCGGCTGGAAAACAGATTTCAAGTCATAAAGTCAGCTAGGAGCTGGCCGAGGCAGGGAGACCTCTCTGCTCAAAGGAGGAGCTGGGGTCCTCTTCCTTCCTGTCTTCAACCCTCCTGGCTGCATGACCTCGGGCAAGTCGTGGCCCTTCTTTGGGCCTCAGTTTCCCCTTCTGTAGAATGGAAGTGGTGGGCTGGGTGGTGTTGGGTCTTAGCTGGATTATGTGGGGCAGGGCCTTTTGATAGGGAAGAGCTCGGGGCTGGGGTCCTGAGAGGAACGAGTGCCTTCCGCAGGTCCTTGGGGTCACCTTGGTGGCATATCCTTCTTTGCAGGAGGTAGGATGCAGGAGCTGCGTCTGCTGTGCTGGGCGGTCCTCCTGGGCCTGGTGCAGACCTGTCCTGAGCCCTGTGACTGCGGGGAGAAGTATGGCTTCCAGATTGCCGACTGTGCCTACCGTGACCTGGAGGCCGTGCCACCTGGCTTCCCTGCCAACGTGACCACGTTGAGCCTGTCAGCCAACCGGCTGCCAGGCTTGCCCGCGGGTGCATTCAGGGAGGTGCCCTTGCTGCAGTCGCTGTGGCTGGCACACAACGAGATCCGCACGGTGGCCGCCGGTGCGCTGGCCTCTCTGGGCCATCTCAAGAGCCTGGACCTCAGCCACAACCTCATCTCTGACTTTGCCTGGAGCGATCTGCACAACCTCAGCGCCCTCCAGTTGCTCAAGATGGACAGCAACGAGCTGACCTTCATCCCCCGAGATGCCTTCCGCAGCCTCCGTGCTCTGCGCTCGCTGCAGCTGAACCACAACCGCTTGCACACGCTGGCCGAGGGCACCTTCACTCCACTCACTGCGCTGTCCCACCTACAGATCAATGACAACCCCTTCGATTGTACCTGTGGCATCGTGTGGTTCAAGACGTGGGCCCTGACCACGGCCGTATCCATCCCAGAGCAGGACAACATCACCTGCACTTCGCCCCATGTGCTCAAGGGCACCCCGCTGAACCGCCTGCTGCCGCTGCCTTGCTCGGCGCCCTCAGTGCAGCTCACCTATCAGCCCAGCCAGGACGGTGCGGAGCTGCGGCCCGGCTTCGTGCTGGCGCTCCACTGTGATGTGGATGGGCAGCCAGCCCCCCAGCTTCACTGGCACATCCAGACGCCCGGCGGCACTGTGGAGATCGCCAGCCCCAACGTGGGTGCTGACGGGCGTGCCCTGCCTAGTGCCCCGGCAGCCAGCAGCCGGCCGCGCTTCCAGGCCTTTGCCAATGGCAGCCTGCTTATCCCCGACTTTGGCAAGCTGGAGGAGGGCACCTACAGCTGCCTGGCCACCAACGAGCTGGGCAGTGCAGAGAGCTCAGTGAACGTGGCGCTGGCCACGCCAGGTGAGGGTGGCGAGGATGCGCTAGGGCGCAGGTTCCACGGCAAAGCGGCCGAGGGTAAAGGCTGCTACACGGTTGACAACGAGGTGCAGCCGTCGGGTCCCGAGGACAACGTGGTCATCATCTACCTCAGCCGTGCTAGGAGCCCCGAGGCTGCAGCAGCAGGAGAAGGGGTCCGTGGGCAGCAGCCCCCAGGCCTGCTCCTGCTGGGCCAGAGCCTCCTCCTCCTCCTCCTCCTCCCTTCCTTCTAGCCCCACCCCCACCGGGCTGGGCTGGAGCAGCCCCAGGGCCTCCCAGATTCCTCCCCCTGACTCTGCAGATGTCCCTTATAAGTGCTGCAGGGGTGGGGGCTGGGGGGTGGCAATTCCTGAGGCCTGCATGGGAGCTTCATATCTTCCTACCTCCCCTTTGCATTTCTTCTGGAACATTTGCCACCCCAACTTCTAGCTTTGCTCAAAGCTGGTGACTTGTACAGAATTTGATCCCATAACTCACCGCCTGCGGTGCTAATTGCTGCTAACCACATTGCCCATGCTCCCTGTCAGGGCAGCAGGCTAACGGGGCAATGCCCTGACCCCCTGGGTGATGCCTCCCTGATGGACTCCAGGCCCTGGGCCTGACTGACAGGCTGGCGAAGGCTGGGAGCGGAGGGTTGCAGCTTGGCAGGGAGGTAGCTTGAAGCAGACAGGGCACAGGAGAGAGGAATAGGATGTAGGGGCAGTGGCTGGCATGGCTCTGAGGCACTCGGTGACCTGCTTGAGCTCCTGCTGTCCCTTGGTGTTCTCTGACGACTTGGGGGTTCAGGAGTCTGCCCTCATCTCAGACAGGACTGGAGGTTCCAGGAGGGGCCTTCGTCTCCTCTAATCCTCCCTCCCTCCCTCCTTGTGTGCCCCTCCATCCTGGACACCTGCCCTGCCTTTCTCTCCAAGTATGCGCCTGTAGCCGGCCCCTCTGAAGAGGCCAGCCAGCCTGGGGGCGGCAGAGAAATAAACAGCATTTCTGATGCTCCCCTGTGTCTGCCTGGAGTTTTGTCTGGATCTAGGAGCCCCCGGGGTGGGGACGGGGGATAGGATGGGGAGCTGCAGAGTCAGGACAGCCAGCCTGCCTGTCCACACGTGATGGGGCCTATAAGGCACACACAGACTGTGTGGCGGCGGCTGGGCCTTGAGCTGAGCTGAGCTGCAGATGTTCCCTTCCCAAAACTAGCCCACAGGACAAACGGGGGTGCGAGCCTGACAACCATTACGGATGCTTTCCTGGGTCCCCCGTGGACCCATGCAGTGCTCTATGCAGCAGTGGCCTGAGGAGGCATTTTGGAGGGCAGGGGAAATGGAAGTGCTTGGGTTGTGGCCCTTCTTCCCGGTCTGGCTCCTGGGAGAGACGTTAGGGTATATTGAGGAAATGGGGGACAGGCAAGGCAAGATGGAGGGGAGAGAAGGGGGAGATATGGGACAGAGGATAGGGGAGAGAGAGGGAAAGAGCAAGACCCAGAGAGACTGAGAACAAGAGACATATCTGAGGGAGGAGCCAGAGGAAATGAATGGGACTTGCTCCTATCTTTCCAGGAAGAGGAAATGGTATTCCTGGAGGAAAGTCTTTTCCGTAGGAGTCCTTCCCCACAGAGCAGATGGATCAGTAACTGCCTTGCGGGGTGAGGGCCTGGCAGAACCTGCAGGTCTCTTAGCATGGGGAAGGTGGGGACAGGGTCAGAACCTGGAGACTGTGGAACCCCATACCTGTGCCGGGTCAGAGAGGTGTCTCCCTACTGCCTCCATCCCCGCCCCTTTCCAGATTGAAGGGAGCTGCACAGAGGGACAAGACCCCGTGGGAGAGGCTCTGCAGCCTCTGCCCAGAACCCCCAGGACTGCTGAGCTCAGCAAAGTGGAGGCAGGGAGACCAAGGAGCCTGGGGTAGCAGCTGTGAGTCTTGGCAGCTGGCCAGCCCCCTTCCCCTCCTCCTGGTCCACATACAGCACCTCCCCACTCCCCTCATCAATTTGCAGTTCCCACTGAGCTGATGTCACCAGCAGCGCATGTCAAGGATGACGGCACATCTGATGGAAAGCAGCAGGATGGAGCAGAGTCCCCTGTGCTGTACCACCTCGGGTAAGTCACTGCCCATCTCTGGGCTTCAATTTCCTCAGAAAACAAAGGACAGGGTAGGGCATAGTAATGCTTAAGAGTCCAATCAACTCTGATTATCTAAGGCTTGATAATCCTAACCCGACTTGGACTCCTGAGTCTCTGGTTCCATTCACAGCTGAGCAGGCTTGGCTTCTTGGAGTAGGATGTGGGCCTAAGACCTGAGTCAGGACAGCTGGGGAACAACTGAGCTCTGAATGAACTAGCTACTCCCCTGCTTTAAAGTCATCCACGGCCCCCACTGATCTCGGGGTGACACCCGAGTTCCCCAGCAAGCCATTCATGGCCCTCTGACTGGCTCTCCGACACCGCCCACCCTACCTGCCGCTCTTGGATTTGATATTTAATTGTTCCCTTAACGCTCCATGATGTGTCATCCTCTGCACCTTTATTTATCCTGTTCCCTCTATCCGGACACCCTTCTCCTGTTCCTCTCTTGGCTAAGTCAGCCTTTGAGACTCGGCTCAGGTATCACCTCCACCAGAAAGCCTTCCTGGATGCCCCCCATCCTCCAATGTGGACTAGGCCCCTCCTCTGGCTCACATAGCCCTGGGGGTCCAGTGTCCCAGCCTGATCACACTCTTATGACTCTGTTTCCTTGTTAAGGGCAGAGACTCAATCTGCCTTCTTGTCCCTGCGACGCTGTCAGTCACTACCACAGGGCCAGGAAGACACTTTTCAATGGGTGGCAGAACGATCAGGGACCGCCCTCTTTGCCCTTCTCACAGGCAGCCTCGAAAGTGGTTGGAACTCCCTGGCCCTGCCCCTGGCTTCATGTGTGTTTGAGGCTGTAGTGGGGGTGTGGAGATGTGGGGAGGAGGGGATTGGTCTCCACTGACTGTGCAGACATTTCTTGAGGCCCCGCTGATCCAGATCTCTGTAGCCCTCCTCCATAGCCCCAGCCCCACAGTGGACCCCACATCCTCACTCATACCTCCCCCCTCCACCAGCCCCCAGCAGAGGAAGGGACCCCACCCCCCTCAGCTGCCCTTCTCCTCTGCATACTTGGTCTCCTCCCATTAGGAGAGCTCCCTCGCTGTGCCCCTCCCACCTCCACACCTTTATTCATATTGCTTCCCCATCTGCCTGAAATCGCTCCTCCTCCTCAAGTCCTGCCCATTCTTGAGGACCCAGAACAAGTCCCACTTCCAAAACCAATGCCCACACAGCTCAGGGGTGCCATCATAGGGTCCCCAGTCTCTCCACCACCCAAAGGGATGTGGCTATGGGTTCTCCTCTGCCCTGGGCCCAGTACCCAGCCCAGCATGTGATCAGAATGTGCCAACTCCCACAAGCCGCATAAATGCAGTGTTGACTTAATGGACAGTGTGGGCAGTTTTCCCCACGTGCCCCTCCCCCTGAGGAGGACTGCTTCTCAGGGACAAGTTTATTACCAGGAACACACTAACCTCTTTCATAATATCTAAAGGCATACCAACTACAAAAATATCAGGCTCTCAAGTGTGGGCAGCTCAGTGTGGGGCTGGTTTGAGCTGACTTTGCTGCCTGGTAGGAGCCCATGGCTTCCTCCTGGGCTGCCTTACAGGCCACGAGGCCCCCAGAGAGGAGGGGGAAAGCTGGAGAGGAAGTACTGTGTCTGGTCCCATGGTGGTAAAGTCCAAGGCTGAGGGGGGCGAGCTGGAATATGAGGCTGTCCCCGCCTGAATCACCAGGCCTGGTCAGGAGAAGGCTTCAGGGAGGCCCTGGATGCTGGCAGCAGAGCCAGCATGAGGAGGAGCCAGGATGTGGCTGCCTGACTTCCATGGGCTCCTGGACCAAGGGCTAAGCCACTGATTGCTTTCTCCAGAGCCTTCGCTGGCTCCTCGAGGCCAAGGGGCAGACCAGAGTCTTCCCAACGCTTGTAGTGTGGACAGACCTCCAGCCAACCATGGCAACCCTCAGCCTCTGGGGCTGGTCACTGGGGACCTGCTGGCAGAGCTGGTGCCAAGCAGAGAGGCTGCCATGGCTGGGGTGATGCTGGGAGAGCCGGGGAGGGAGTGGGCTGGGGGGAGGGGAAGCACCCGGCACAGACGAGGACACGGTGGCTTGGCCTCCCTCCTCAGGGCTGGGCACCGTTGGCCCGGGCACCTGATAGGGCTGTCTTCCGGAAGGCCTGCAGGGCCGGATTGTGAAGCAGCGTGTACGCCAGGCCCCAGCGGGCCCTGCCTCGATGGGCCCTGGGCCTCGCTCCCTTGGCCATGGGGTCCTTGGTCTGCAGCAACTGCATCCCTGAGAAGGAGAGACCTTCTGTGAGTCACTCAACCAACACCTAGCCAAGCCTCCCAGCACCCAGACCTGAGCAGAGTCTGAAAATCCCTTCTGTAGTGTTGGGGAGGCTGGTGAGACTGGAGTTCCAGGTGCCGGCTCATAGAGTGGGAAGTTGGGAGAAGCGTGGGGCTGCAGAGGGGTTTCTGTAAAGGCTCAGGATGTCATCCTGCGAGTGACAGACAGAAGAGGGAGAGGACGAGTTTGGTGGAGGGGACTGGAGGCAGGGCTGGGACAAAGGCCTAGAGCCAGCTGAATGTCCCCCTTCCTACTACAGACTTTCCAGGCAGTAGGGAAGGGGGAGGACATACTCCCTGAAAGGCAGAGGCGGGGGTGGCCTGGGGTGACAGAGCCTTAGCAAGACAGACATTTAATTCTCTGTGTGAGAGGGTGTGTGTGCCTGCGCATGTGGAGAGAGGGAGTGTGTGCTCACATCATGGAAAAAATTACCCTGAGACACACCAGGAAAATCCTCACTTCCTGTCTCCCACAGGCAGCCAGGGAGAGAGGAAACGTGCGTTTTCCTGGCGCTCACTCGGCTGTGTATTGGGGAGGGGGCATGCCTCCTTCCTGGGAGAAGCCGGGTGGGCTCGATTCCCCCCATCCCCAGGGGAAGGTGCACCTTCTTCTTCCTCCCCCAGTCTGAGGCCGTCCTGGGGGGCTGTGGGGGGCCGGGGCCTCAGTGTTCGCAGGAGCAGGGCACAGAAGGTGGTCACAGCTGGATGCGACTGGTTAACCTCGATCTTCAAGAAGTTGCAGTAGGTGTGGTAGCCTGGGGGGCGGGGGATGGCAGCGCTGGGGGAGAAGGGCCCCCCAGAGAGCCCCTAACACACGCAGGAGTGCCCTGCACTCCATGCATGAGAGCACATGGACACCGGAGCACGTGGCACACCCACTGCACGTGGGCACACATGCACACACTGTCCACTGCCCACCCCCACGGCACGTGGTTACACACATCCTCCGTGAACAGGTTAGCACTTAGACGAGGTCAGGCCAGACCCTCCCTCACGGCTTGGGCAACCTGAGCAACCTCCGCCCCCCGCCCCTGCCCAGTGACCTTACCGGGGTCAAGAGCTGCGGCTCTCTGTGGCAGCAGGCTGAGGTCCATCTGGCCAAGGTGGATGGCGTTGTAGAGGGCGGAGAGGAGCACTCGCCACGCGGCCACCACGGCGCCCACCAGCACGTTGATGAGGAAGAGAAGGAAGGTGAGTGCGTAGAGCGCTCGCCTGGGTGGAGGAGACGAGAGGCTGAGGTCTGTGTCACCTAGATGACCACAGCTGCTAGCTATTTATTGAGTACCTACGTTTACTGAGTACACCTTCTGTGCAGCCCACCCTGTGCTGGGGCCGCTCTCTCTCAACCCAGCTCGCCCTCCCCACCACCTGAGAGACAGGCGGTGTTACTCCCTCTATTGAAGGGACACTGAGGCCCAGAGAGATTGGGTGACTTAGCTAAGGCTGTCTAGCTAGTCAGTGGCAGAGCTGGAGTTTAAGTCCAGGTCCCTCTGGATCTTTCCACGACCCCAGTGTCTCCCACCTCCTCCTCTGGGCCCCTTGCGCACTGACTGTGAGTCCCTCCTGTGGCTGAGGTTCACCCACAGCCTTGCATCTGACATGGAATTAATGTCTCTGTTCACTTCCTTCTTGCAGTGGGGGAGGCACATGGTTTTGAGGGCACAGAGGACCCAGGAGAGAGCAGTGCTGATCCCCAAAGCAGGGAAGGCTCATGGGAGTATTTCTGACAAGTAACCAGAGAGGTATTTTGGAGTAAGCTGGGCCGCTGCCCCATTTTCCCGTGTAAGGCAAGCTCTCTTTACTACCCTCTGGGTGCCCTGAGAAAGTGGAGAGATGGCAGTGGAGGGAGAAGGGCACAAAAAGGGAGACATCAAAGAAGAGGCTGAGGGCCTGAGGGAGCCACGAGCCCAGGAGCTGCCTCACCGGTTGGTCAGGTCTGGGTATCCATGGTGAGTCTCCAGGAAGACCCAGCGGGCTGCCATGTTCTGCAGGATCACAGCCAGGGCCAAGGTCAGCCAGAAGGGCCTGCCGACGAGGTGGGGAGGGTGTCACTGTTAGTGGCCCTCTGTGAAGGGGTCCCAGAGCCCTCCACCCCTTGCCTCACTCACCACGAGGACTCCAGGGATCTGAGGAGCAGGAGGTTCCTGCCGTGGAGCATGGGCATAAACACCAGGAAGGCCAGGGCTGTGGTCCCCAGGAAGAAGATGATCTGCTGTACCAGGAGCCCTGCCAGGACGGGGAGGGGGAGGGGAATGGGGAAAAGCTCAGGCTCTGCGGGACCCAGCCCACCCCTGCCACTCGCCGGAACCCAAGGGCTTTAGAATTGGGCAGGCCTGGTTTCAGATCCCTGCTCTGCCGCTGCCTGGCGGTGCCACGTGGAGCAATCGCTCCACTGAGCCTCGGCTTCTTCCTCTGTAAAGTGGAGACGGTGGCCCCTACCTCCGGGGGTTCTCGGGAGGATCCAATGGGATGATGTCTGTGGCAACTCTTTGAAAACCCCAAAGTGCTTTGCAAACATTATTTTCCCCCAATTGCTCTGAGTCCTTGGGGACAAGACTGCATTTTAAATTAACGTTTGCATTCCTACTGGCCAGAGCCTGGCACATGGTAGGTGCCCGCAAGTTGTCTATTGAAACAATTGGCTAATTGTTGATGTGGGATAACGTGTACCAGAGGGCTTGGGAGGTATAAGGTCTACCAAGATGAGGAGTTACAACGTTCAGTGCTAGTAATTCCTCTACTCCTTTGTCATCCTTCTCCTCTTCCTCGGGGAGGTGAGAACTGAAGGAACCAGCGGGAGAGACATCAGGCCCTGGCTTTTGCAACACTGGCCCCAGCTGCCTCATGTTTCAGAGAGCTTTATTTACTGCAGCTTGCAAGGGGAGAATCAGAAAGTCCGCCGAGAGGGGTCCTGGAAGTTAATCTAGTTCAACTCCCTCAGGGCAAGACTCCCTTTGCAGCCCCCAACAATGGCCATGAACCCTGCTTGCATACCCCCAGTGACAGGGATCTCATTACCTCCTGAGGCAGCCCACTGTGGCATAGCCCTCCCTTACACAAGCAGGAATGTGCCTCCTTGAACTTCCCACCTTCCAGGCCTGGGTCCATCCTCTGTGTAAACACCTGGTGGCACCCAGGGGCCATCCTCGTGTGAGGGGTATCCTTTCCCCAAGGGGTCCTGCAACCCCTGCTCCCCACCTAAGTGAGCTTCCTGAGGGCAAGGTGGGTCCTTCCTCTTGCTCTTGCCCCAGAGCCTGCCCCAGCACAGGCAGACACCCAGGGGTAGCCAAGACCTGCTGAGCATTTCCCCCCACCCACTGAGGCCAGTGTCTGGGGCTGCTGAGGCCAGGTGGAGTGGGCAAGGGGGGCTCACCAAGGCAGGTAAAAGCAGTATGGTAGGCACTGAAGCTCATCCAGCAGAATACGGCCTGGCGGGAGGGGTGGAGGCTCTGCGGCAGGGCACCTCGATCCAGGGCAGCCCCTCGGTGCAGAGCTCGCAGGTTGGCCCTGGGGTGAGGGCAAGGAAGACAGGGGTCTCAGGGAGCGCACACACTCCCTACATTCCTCCTCTGGGCCAGCCTCTGGCTAAACTCCCAGTCTAATTACAACTCATGGCCGTGGGAGCCCAGCGGAGGCTACCAACCCAGGCTGGGAGGTCAGGGAGGGCTTCCCGGAGGAGGTGATGTCTGAATAGAATCTTAAAGGATGAATAAGAGTAAGCTGGTGGGGGGTGGGGTGGGGATCAAGGGAGGCAAATTCAGGCAGAAGAGTCAACCTAAGCCAAGTCAGAAAAGTGAGAAACAACCATAGAAACGGAAAGTGACTTGCAGCTCAGCCAGTAGGGCAGGAGGGAAGGTTCCAAGCAGGCAGAGGCTTGAGGGCCTTGAATGCCAGCCTGAGCAGGGCCAACTAGGTGAGAAAAGACCCCTGGGCAGCAACCCTGAGGCCTGACAAATGCACCGGGCATATGGACCAGTTCTCTGACGTTGCTAAGTGCCTGGATCTTCCCTTCCCACCCACCCTACTCCCAACTAGAACCTTCTCTCCCTCTCTGCTCACATTTCCTCAGTGCTCCTTATCATTCACCATGAAAGGGCAAGCGAAGCAGCTTGGCATTCAACGTCCCACAGCAATCTCTCCTGTGCCCCAACACCAGCCAGGCCACCTCTGCACTCCCATTCTCACAGGTCAGGCTCACTCCAGCCTCGCGCCCTTGCTCACACAGCTCCTCCCGCCTGGCACCGTTCCCCCCTCCTCTCCTCCCTCTTCTTCCCATCCCACATAGAATGCCAGCTTTCCCAGTGCCTTCCTTATCTAATCCAGCACTACTAGGCGGCCCCTTCTCAGAGGGCTACCTCCACACGCCCTCCCCTAGTCAGCCATGCCCCATATCACTCACAGATGTTTCTCCAACCACACAGGAATGCCCGCCTTCTCTGCCTGCCACAAGGCAGCCGGCAGGTGAGCTCAGTGACACCTGGGCCTCCGGAGGCTCTCCCTCCCTCCAGCCCCAGGGCTTTCCTCACAGGCCTCCTGGGTCAGGGGTCCTGCAGGCCCCTAGGACTCCAACCTCTTCCCATATCTGCACTGGGAAGTCAGAGCCTACCACTAACCTGTGTGTCACCAGCGAGCGGATCAGCAGGAGGAAGGTGAGTGAGCAAGACAGGACCAAGGCCAAGACGTAGCAAACTGGAGGGGTGGAGAGGGAGCAAAATGGGAGGTCAGGGCCTGGAGGGTCTCCTGGGAGCCCCCGAAATGCTGCCAGGGTGGAGCCTGGGTGGGAGTTACCCCCGCCCCACACCCCATACCGAGTGGAGGCCTCTTGCCACATCCCCCATTCTCAGATGCAGTATAAGTCGCCAACCTCAGCCAGCCATACTGCCAGGCGATATATGGTAGCCAAGACAGGGAGAGGCCAGCTCTGAAGCTGCAGACCTGGCTATCACCCTGGTCTTGCTGCTTCCATTGCTGTGTGATCCCCATAAGAGACTCCATCTAACCTGGCATCTGCATCCAGCTCCATGCTTCCTGGCCGTGTGGCCCCCAGGGGGTCATTTTGTCTCCCAGCCTCAGCTTGCTGTGCTGGGTACCCTGCTAGGCTGCCCATCTCCCAGCATGACATGAGCCATAAAACCCCACCTGGGCCGTGTCAGTGGCCTTTGTTCAGGCACAGAGGATGCAAAGCAGTGTGGCCTGAGTCCATCAGAAAGAAGGAGGTGACTGCTGCTACCCATCTCCTCCAGGCTGTAACCCCTCCTCCCCAGCTCCCGGCCCCCCTGGGCCATGTGCACGGATCATGGGTTTGCTGTATCCCCAGCAGCCGGGGGAGAACACACGGTGTGTTGTGAACAAGCCTGGTATTTAAGCACAGCGGAGATGCAGGGCTGCAAGCCTTCCACCCTACATCCATATCCAGCCTCTCTCTGCACCCTCAAAGCAACCCCACAGGAGAGGCACAGCAAGACATGGGACCAACGAAGAAGCTGAGACACAGAGAGAGGGCCTGACCCACCAGCCACACTGCTAGGAAGTGAAGGAGCAGGACGTGTAATCATTTCCAAGCAGACCCAGAATGAGCCCAGGGTGCCTGCACCGTGATCTCATCAGTCAGCCCAGGGAGGTGTTTCTGGTTCCTGTATCCCCACCAAAAACTCGGGAGGGGAGCAAATACCCACAGACAAGGCGAGCACTACTTCCATGTAGCCATAGGAGCCGGAGAAGCGAGTCTCGGCACTGGCAGCACATTAGGGTCACCTGGAGCTGTTAAAACCCCCATGGCCCAGGCTGCCCCCCAGCCCAATTCAATCAGAATTTCTGGGCATGGGACCCAGGCCTTAGCTTTTGTGAAAGCAACCCCGGTAATTCCACTGTGCAGCCAGGGTTGAGAACCACTGCCCTGTGGCTTTCCGAAGATGGAGCCCTAATGATTTATTTCTATCGACGATTGAAATCAATCACCCAACTGACACATACAGAACCTGCTACAGCCGCTCTCAAACTCAGGCCTGCAACAGAACCCCCAGGAGGGCTTGTTCAATCACAGACACTGAGCCCCACCCTCGGGGTTGCTGAAGTCTGGCCTGGGGCTTCAGCCTTGGGATTTTTAAAAAGTTACCAGGTGATTCTCAGGGTTACCAGGGTTGAGAAAGACTGCTGCAGAGACCTGGGGCCTTTCTGCCTGCCCCTGGCTCACTCCTCCAGTGGCAGGAGGGGCACTTTTCTGAGAGGTAAGGCTAGGAGAAAGCACTGGGCATGTGCAGCTCTTCCCTGCTCTATCCGTCCTGGAGCCACTCGGCACCAGCGAAGGTGCATCCTGGACGGTTTCTGCCAGGGGTGAAGAGCCTGCCTGCTGAGGCTGAGCAGGTGAGCAAGTAAGTTAACATGGGGTGAAGGGTCAGCCAGCCTCCCTGGCCCCAGGCCTGGCCTTTGATCTCCATCTGTCTGCCTCCTGCTCCTCTCCCCTCAATTGGTTCCAAACTTGGGTCCCTCCAAATGCTGGTACGCATAAAATCTTCCTGCTCTTTGCCTCCTCTGGGGCCCTGCACCTGCCCCCTCCTGGGCCCTGCTTTGTGGCTCCATCTCTCTTCCCCACCGGATCGATGGCCTCAAGGACAAGGTTGCCTTTGTAGATTCAGCACCCATTTTGCAGGTAGGGAAACTGAGGTCCAGAGAGGCGGAAGTGGCTTGCCCACAGTCACACAGCTTGTGAGTGATGGAGCAGGAATTCTAGTCTGCCTGATTCAGGGCATGAGCTTTCTGTGAACAATGCCAGACTTATGGTCCAGGTGCCAGGTGGGCAGCCCCAAACAGGCTCTCAGAGCTCAGAAGACATTAGTTCCTTAGGCTAAGAACAAACCAAAGGATCCCCGAGCCCAGATCTCATCCCAGTTCCACCCCTGGCTTGCTGAGTGCTTTGAGCATATCTCTAATCCTCCTGGGCCTCAGTTTTCCTTGTCTGTGAAGTGGGAGAGTAAACACTGCTCTGTTTGGCCCCATTTTGGATCTTTTTGATCCAAGAAGATCCAAAGTGGGAGCATTTGGGCTTGGAGACTGCAGCCTCTGATTATAAATGTCAACTAGAAGCAGGATCCATTGTCCTGGACATGTCACTTCCGGCCTCAGACCCTTGATTTCCTGTTCTACAAGGTGGGATCAACGATGCTGACCTAACAGGGCTGCCGTGAGCAAGGCCTAAGCTTGGATGCAGGCTCATGTGGGCCATGTCTGATCCTGCCTGGGGCCCAGACTGCAGCCAACTTGGCATACCTCCCTGGAGATGTCATTTTCAGCCCACCCAGAACTTGTCACCTGTCCAGCTTAGGAGCCACAGCTGCAGTTCCAGGGCAGCCTCTGGTATGGGAGCAGAGGCACTCAGGAAGGTGGTGGGAGTGGTGGTCAGGGAAGGAAGCAGTCCCTGCACACACCTCTGCCCACCCACCACTCCCTGCCCCTCTCCATCCCCAGCATGCCTGGTCTGGGGGACGAGGATGATGTGAATGGCCAGGAACAGTTGCAGAGCAGTCACACCTCCGCCTGCGATACTGGCAGCCTAAGCTCTGACCATCACATGTTACTCTTCAGGAGCCAGGGTGCCCAGACCAGCAAGGGACTCCCAAATCAGCAAAGGGTGCAGGCCCCACGACTTCTGACCACCAGCCTTTGTCTCAAGGTGGTGGAGAGAGCCCCAGCTGAGGCATCAGGAGACTGCATTCTTCTCTGGCTCCGCTTCTGCCTGGCTGGACAACCTCAGGCAAGTCCTTTCCATGTCAAGTGGGGACACTTCTCAGCCTCCCCCACAGGGCTGTTGGGAGGGCCTGGGAGATGGGGGAGGTGGGTAACAGGCTAAGGGCTGAAGGAAGCATCAGTCACAGAAGGGCAGGCTGGTATGGCTCCCTGGCCCTGGGGGCTCATTGTCGAGGGACGAAGGAGAAAGGAGGTGGCCCAGGAGGACAGGGATTGGGGAAGAGACAGCATTCGCCCCGCCCCGCCAGACCCCACCCACCTGCCCTGGGGATTCGCTCAGAACCTGGCCCGCTGTCCCACATCCCTGCCTCCTTTCCTCCTTCCCCAACCTCGGCAAAGGCCCTGGGGCTGTCCCCTCAGCTCACACACAGCATGGCCTGCCCCATCTCCATGCCTGCAGAACTGGGCAAAGACACAGACGAAGGCGGGAGACACCACACAAGCTGACGAGGGGCTGCTGAGAGGACCCTTCAGGTCTCAGAGACTTGGAACTGGAAGTTCCAACCACCCCAATTTAGAGATGAGGCAATCAAGACCCAGAGAGGGGGAGGGATGTGCCCACGGGCACCCAGCATGTCCGTGGCAGTCTGGGACCGAGCTCGCGTCCTCGCTCCCGGCCCTCGGGGACTCCCGGGAGGCCTCACCTTCCAGAGCCCACAGGTGGTGCTTCACCAGCTCTGCCACCTCCTGCTTGTCCTCGGAGAGCACGATCCCAAAGCCGGCCAGCAGGTAGGAGACGTCCGTGGTGATCCCCGCCCTCACCTTCTGGATGGTGGGTACCACGCCCGCCAGCAGCAGCAGGGCCACCTGGAAGAGCCCCAGAATGAGGGTGCCAGGCCTGGCTGTGCTCACACCAGGCCCCCCCATCCCAGGAGAAGTGTTTTCTGAGCTAACGGGGAGACTTCAGGGGAGAAACTCGAGCAGCACACGCTTCATGCCCATGTCACCCATCACATGCTGCATGTCACCCATCACAGGGTTCTTGCCCGCCCCTTCGAGCAGCATCCTCAGGCCTCTAATCAGCACGTTACAGATGTGACCTCAGCCTAACAGACCACAAATGTACTTTCAAGCAGCACAACTGTGTATCTACGCCTCTGTCTATCACCTATCTACCTGAACTTTGGAACATAAAATTTCCAGTTTTTCCATGTTGGAGAAAGCAAAGCGTCCTATAAATGAGCATAGGCATTGAAGCTAGACAGATCCGGATTCAAATTCTGGCTACCCTGAGATATTAGCCATAGGAATTTGGCCAACTCAAATTCACCTCTCTGAGCCTCAATTTCCCCCCGTCTGTAAGATGGAGAAAAATCATCCCTCCCTCCCAGGATTTTGTTTTTTCAGGGAGATGGTAGTGTTGGTGGGGATTTATCAAACACATTATTTCACTAAATCTTCCCACCTACCCAAAAAGGAAAGTAATTCTATTTCCTCCACTTTACAGCTGAGCTAATGGGTTCAGGGATGTTGAGTAACTTGCTAGAGGTCACACAGGAGGTAAATAACGGAGCTGGGATTTAAATCCACGTTTATGTGACTCCAAACTCACGTTCTGACTTGATGGGAGCCCGACAAGAGTTAACGTCCCCTCCCTTCTGGGTAGGAAGCAGCTGCAGAGGATGGTGGGCAGGGCTTTTGGAGAGCTGAGCTGGGCCTGAGCCCTCCCAGGCTTGAGGGCAGGGGCAGGGGCAGGGGTCCAGAGGCAAACGGTACTTCAGAGGCAGGACATACCTGGTAGATGGCCGTCCCTGTCAGGGTGGCAGAAAGCACCAGCTTCAGGGGGAGTCGGAATCCTGCAGACCCCAAAAGGAGGGTCATGGTGAGCTCCAGCACCACTCAGGCCCAGGAGCCCCCATCCCTCCCAAGGGGCCCAGGAGAAGGACCAGGGCTCACAGGACCCTGGACCACCAAGGCCAGGCCCAAGCTGGGGTTGTTGCCCTGATGACACGGATTTGGGGGCGGGGCAGGAGCTGGCCTTCCACTGCAGTTGTTCTGTGCAAGGGAGGGGTAAGGTCACCTGTCATTCATGACCTCAGCCCCCCACCGCATACCTCGCTGTGGAGTGTAGATGTGGTGTCTGAGGCAGATCCAGGCCCGAGACAGGAAGCTGTGCTTGGAGGTGTGGGAGCTGTGGAAAGACCCAGGCAGGCGGGACCCTCAGGAGAAGCCCCTGCCCGGAGCCCCAGAGTCTGGTTCATTCCTCACCTCTGCCCCACCGTGCTGCCCAGTGCCGGTCTCCCAAACAAGCCGCCTACCCAGCCCTGTCCCCTGGCCCAGAGCGTGTGCCCGGGACCTCACTTGCTTTCCAGCTTCTTCCGGCAAAGGAGGGTCCTCAGATATTCCTCAGAGTAGCTGCTCTGCAGCCCCTGTGGGGACAGACAAATGGAGGAGCAGATGGGACCTGCCTCGAGCCATCCATGGGGCCCTGGCTCAGGGGACACAGTGGGCACCCAGTGGGTGCACCGTGAAAACCTCCTGGCTGTGGTGGAGTATGGAGAAGGGCCAACTCATGGGGATGAGGTCCATGCCGCCCAAAGCTGCCTTTTCCTCCTCCATGAAAACCAAACTAATCAGTCTCCTATTTAAGAAGACTCAATGCTGGGAAGTTCTTCCTCAGGTCTATCTCCAACCATCTCCAGATTGACTCAGTCACATCTCATCACTGCTTCCCTCCTGGCCCTCTGGCCTCTGCTAGCAGTGACTGGGGCAAAAGGGAGCCTATGTCCCATGGTCACATCCCTGACCAGGACACAGGATGGGGCCATTCCAGGTCAGATCCCCCAGGCCTCTCCTCCTATTCAAGGGAGATCACAAGGGTGACCAGATTTGTCTAAGCCACATTCCGGGCCTTAAGCTGCCTGCCAAGAGGCAGAGGCCCATGGTAAGATGGGGTGAGGCCTTGGTCCCTGATCATTAGGAAAATATAGGCCATTGTCACTTGTTGCCATGGCAACCCTGGGATCCAGGGCAGCTGTGGGTTAGCTCAAAGCTTGACTGGGTCCTGTGAGGCTTAAACCTCTTTGACCAAGGGCCAAAGAGGATTTTATTTCTCCCAAGACTTCTCAAGAGGAAAGGCATGCAACGGAGGGAGAAGTGAGGCAGGGAAGAGCCCTGGAAGAGGAGGGAGAGGGAGACGGCGTGGGAGAGATGTGCCTGGTGTGCCATGTACCCCGGAGGCTGCTCCCTCTTCTGAGCCAACCGCAAAAATGAGGAGACAACGGGCTTCCCCAGAAGCATCTAGAAGGCAGCAGTGACAAGTCCTGAGGGCCTTACTGCTTCCAGGAGAGCCAAACCCAGTCAGGTGGGCCCGTGGGGGACCCAGGTCTGGCCCTGGAGGACCTGAGCCCACCAGCCTCTTCTCCCTTCAGTTCGAACCCACCCTCGGGACCTCAGTCCTTCTCCAACTTCAGTCTCTGCCCCTCTCCTGAGCTCCAGACCCACGGTCCAGCTGCCCGCCAGACCCTTAAGCGCCACACCCCCATGACTGCAATCGTCCCCTGCACACCTGCTCTCATCCAGCGTTGCATGTGTCAGCAACTGGCACCACTACCTGCCTGCTGTCTGTCCCAGATGCCACCCTTCAGGCTTTCCCGCACCGTCCCCATCTGAACAGTAACCAGCCCTTCTGCGTCTGTGTCCTCGACCTTTCCTGAAAGGGCTCCCTCGGTGGAGCCGTTCTCCTCTGCCTCCTCTCTCACCAGAAAGAGTGGTTGACCCCGTTCCACCCGTGCTCCCAGGAGTCTGGATGAGCCCCTGGTGCACTTCTCACATTGCACTGCACATATCTGTCTCCCCCAGCACACTGGGCGGTCCTGGAGGTCAGACTCAGGGCAGCAGCTCTGAGTCCGTAGCACCTAGCCCAGGGCCTGGCACATGGTAGGTGCTTAGGAAGCTTGTTAATAAGACTTCCAGGTCTTGTCAGAATTTTCTCTAGCCGTGATGCATCTACTCACCTACCCACCCACTTACCCCCCCTCCACCCACCTAGCCAAAACTTCAGAAATATTTCCTGAGGGTCTATTATGTGATAAGACCTGCCCGGTGCTGCAAATTATATGTGAACAAAACAGACACAACCTATCTCTGCCTCTTTACTCTGGCTGTTTCCTAGGCTTGCAATGCCTTCTCCTTATTCTCTCTCCACTCTAGATCCTCCCTGTCCTTCAGTCCATGCTTAAGTTCACCTCCTCCAGGAAGCCCTCCCAGCCTGCCTTAGTTCTCCCAGCCCTCCCCTTTGTATGATGTTTTCCAACCTAGAATTGATTCATAATGCGATTCGGCCCCGGGGGCTTCTTGAGTCATGTCAGCGTCTGCAGAGCTCCTGTTAGGCACAAGGCCTCTCGCCTGTCTCATTTCTCCAGCTGGATCCTCAGTGTTCCAGAAACATAGCATTGACTTCCCTGGCTTCTGGCCCACTTCTCCTTTGTTGAGTCCGCACTGTGCACACAGCTTGGTGCTCCAGGTATCCTGGGGGCCAGCCGAGGACCCTGCTGAGCCTTTGCCTAGGGTGGGAGGACTAACCGGTCCCTCAGCGACTCAGCAAGGCTTTTCTGAGCACCTGCTGTGTGCCAGGCCCTGTACCCAGCATGATCACACATAGGGACCAACGGATGTGGGGGAGTCCAGGGTGTCTTGGGTGCTGAGCAGGAGCCCACCACAGCCCTGCCCCTTTACCTCGGAGCCCGCTGCCGTCCCATGACTGAAGCTTCTCACCAGCTGCACCGGGTACCAAAGGCTCAGGAACCCGAGGCCCAGAAGGAGAGGCAGGGAGGCCAGCAGGGAGTAGTACTTGTAGATCTGGCAGACAGACAGACACACAGACACACCTACCTTCTGCCTGCCTCCCCAGCCAAAGACCAGGCTCCATTTCCCTTCCCACCACATGCCGGGCCCTGAGGGTGGTCTAGGGGGCCACAGGCCCTCTGGCATGGGTTTCATCACCCCCACCCCCAACATGGGCCACTCAGCACAAACCCTCCTCCTTCCCCTTCTCGGGCCCCGCAGAGGTGCTTGCCCCTCCCCAGGCCCTTGGAGGAGGTTATGTAATCCCTTCCTCCCCACCCCAGGGGCTGGAATGGGGCCTGGAACGGCGCCATCCGCTTTCTCTGTTCCTATGTTCCTGGCACTTTGGACACAGGTCTAATTTTGTCTATGTGCAGTTTGCAACCTGGGCATCAGGGAAGCACATGCCCTACCTCCCGGGGTTGGGTCCCTTAAATGTTCATTCACTTTGTTCGTTAATTCAATACATTTGTATTGAGAGCTGAGTATGTGCCAGGTTCTGGGTGGTGAAAACAACCAACGAAGTCCCTGCTCTCAGAAAAACCCCACAGTCTTCACCTCCACCCCAGGGACTGGTGTCATCAACTCCATTTACAGGGGGAAACTGAGTCTCAGAAAGGTGACATGGTTTCCTCCAACACTTAGCACCACCTGGTGTCATTTTTCATATTTGTTTGTTTGTTTTATTGTGTCTCCCCTTCTGGAATGGCAGCACTTGGGATGACGGGAACTTTGTCTGTCTTGTTCACAGCCATACTCGAGTGCCTGCAAATGTCCCTGATACAGAATATGTGCTTCAAATATGTTTGTTGAATGAATGAATGAATGAATGAAGTGATGAAGCTGGATTCAAACTCAGGTTGTCTGGCTCCGAAGCCAACACCCTGCCCTTTGGGTTCTAGACTGGGCAGCTTCACACCCCTAGCCAGCAGCCAGAGAACCAGGGTCTGAGGTTCTGGAATTCTCTTTGTAGCCCTCTGAGACCATCCCTAACTTGGTGCTCGCCATCCTCCAGCTCTCTCATCCTACCCAGTCTGGCCAAGGGAAGGCTGGGGAATCACTAATGGGGGATTTCAGCTTCCTCTTCCTCCTCCTCTGCCCCTCCCCCTCCCTGCCCCTCCAGACTGAGGCTCCTGAGGGCAGGCCCAGCTGCCCTGTCCCTAGCCTCTCCCATAGAGGGGCCGAGCTTGGAATGGGCACGTGTTTCAAGGAGTGGCATCCACAGCGGCTGGGAAGCCCGGCATGTAAACAGAGATGAAAGGAGCCACTGGGTTTAAGCAGGTCCTCCATGCCCCTCCGCCCCAGGCCATCGTGGGTCAGTGGTTACCTTGGGTGCCTGGGGACACTCTGCCCTCTGCCAGACCTGGACCCCAAAGTGAGCCCAGGACAGTGCACTGCCAAGCAGGAGTGCGGCTCCATGCCTGACCGTGGCACAGGCGGCCAGAGGGTAGTAGAGGGCAGGGTAATAGAGCAGGGCCAGCATCTTCCAAGGCCCTGGAAGGCAAGACGGGCAGAGAGACACATGATGGAGGGGCAGGTGTGGGGGCCGAGTCCAGCCCACCCAGGCCTCTCCTGTTTCCATCTTCTGAGCCTCTCAGCTGGTTCAGTGGGCAAGAGCCCTGCCTTCAAATCCAGGCTCTGACTAGTCTCAGCTCTGTGATCTTGGGCAAGTTACCTCTGGAAGTCTCAGTTTCCCCATCTGTAAAATGGAAATAACAGTAGTAAATTAGCAAGATGAAATGAGAAGGTATGTGTACAGCGCTCAGCACAGTGCCCGAGTTAGTACTCAATAAATTAAGCTACTACTTCACTATTGTTCCCCTCTCGGACCCTCAGCATCCTCCTCTGAAATGGGGCTAATATCCACACTTGGCAGAGTCATTGTGAGGACTGGGACAGGGCCCCTCTCAATGGCAGCTGTCCTTGTTACATTCACTTCCTGGAGCCCAGCTCAGTTCTCCAGGACCTCCCTGCCCCCCTCCCCACCTGCCTTCATTCCCACACAGGGCTGGGCTTTCTGGGAGACTCAGCTGTGCCCATGAACCAGAGTTCCCTCCCTCCTGGGAGGGGAGTCTGCACAGGAGCAGAGGAAGTGGAGAGGGCAGTATCGACCCAAAGGCTGGGACCAACGAAGGGAAGGTTCCAGGCACTGTGGCGGGACAGTTGGGGAGGATAACGGGACAGTGTCCTCTGGCGGTGGCTCATGACTGGGATGGGAGGCTGCGTGGCTCACTACAGAAGAGCCCTACGCCAGCGCTCGGATTCCCACCCACTCCCACCCCATCAATCCAGCCCAGGGCCTCAGCTGCACTGGGTACCTGGGCTGGGTGGTGAGGCCAGGGTCAGGAAGGGCAGCGGGTCCTCGGTGGGGAGCAGCAAACACAGGGAGCTGAAGAGGACCATGAAGACAGCAGCGGGCACGGTCCAGGGCTTGTCCCCAGCTGAGAAATCCACAGGGCTGGGGCAGAGGCAGGGACAGGACAGGAGGGAGTCGCTCAGGGCCTGCACTCCCCTCACCTCGTGCCATGTTCCATAAACCAGAGGGGTAGAGCCAGGCCCACTTTCCAGATGGGGAACTGAGGCCCTTCATCCATCCATTCCACAAACATTTGCGGAATGACTCCTATGTACCAAGTTCTGGGCCCGTGGTGAAGGGACTCGGGAAGTCCCCCCTAACACAAACACACAGCAGGAACAAGCCTGAGCGCTGCTCCCCCCGCCCACCCTGGAAGCTCCAGGAAACAGCCGCCTCCACACAAATCGGTCTGTCTGGGCTGGCAGCCCTTCAGAGAGCGCGGAGAGTCACAACATCCTTGTGCAACAGCCGCCGCCCTGGCCTGGGTGTGGCCCCGGGGCAGAGGGCAAACAGCGGGCACAGCTGTCCCAGGCGTCGCCTCTCTGGGCTCAGGGAAGGCCACTCAGACCCTCTGCTTCTCCTTCCAGCTTACCCTCATGCTCTGAGAGCAATCCTGCTCCATTCTGCCCCCAAGCTCTCCCCCAGGCAAGACAAGCTCTTACCTGGGCCAACAAATAGGGCAGAAACCCCAGGCTAGTTCCCCACAAAACCAGCACGGCAGGACCCTCCTGGGTGTGCAGCCCGGGCCTGGGGCTCCACCTACCACCTCCCCCAACCCTTTGGTCTCTCCCACACAAGCCTGCCCAGTCCCATATCCTCAGGATCATCCCCATCCCAGGCTCTGGGCTTGTAGGGCTGAAGGAGACAAGAGGAGAAAGTTCCAGCCATAGGGACTGGAGGTCAGTCCCTCATAAATCTGCCTTCAAGCATCAAGGTGCAGGTGAAACAGGAGTAGGTAGACCTGAGTGGGTCCCTCCCTCTCCCTCTGGGGGTCCCGACTAAACCTAGAGATGTAGGTGGGGTGGGGAGAGCCCCAGGCTGAGAGAGGTGAGGATGTCACTGAGGCCAGAGCTGGCTTCTAGGTACCTAACAAATCACCCCCCTCCCAGAGCGGCCCTGTCAGCTGGGCCCCCTGAGTGGGGGTGCCCAGGCCACGGCACCCACCTGGGCAGTCCAGGCCTGCCGTGCCCACAGTGGGGCCAGAGCTGGCGGCGCCTCACCAGCATGGCCAGCAGCAGCAACACGAGAACCTGAAAGGAGAGCGCAGAGAAGGGCGTGCGTGCCCCGGCCTCAGTCCCCAGGACACCCCTCACCCCCAGTGCACACTCATGCGGCCTCTTGGCGACTGGCCAAGAGGCGACAGAGGTCTGAGAGGTTGGCCTGAATCCTGGTCTGGGTCCCCACCCTGGGAGAACTCCCAGATACCCACTCCCACATTTTGGGCTCCCAGTGTCCCCCTTCCCAGCTCCAGCAGGGAACACAGGTCCCTGTGCCCAGGCTGACCGTAGGTTGAAGCCAGGGTGGACTCACCGACAGCACGGCCAGGCAGGCATGGGGGAGGCCGGGCGGCACACTGGGGTGGCACGAGGGCACTACCCTGCAGAGCAAGTGAAGGCTGGGTCAGGCCTGGGGAGGGACACCCCAGGTGTGCAGCCAGGTCTGGGGTTCCAGGCTGTCTACACTGGGGCTCCACCCCCCCTTCCCTTAATCCTCTGATCTCTCCTACACAAGCTTGCCCAGTTCCACTTCTCGGGGCCATTCTGGGCCTCTCATGCCCCTACGGTGTGCTGGTCCTATGCCAAGCTCTGGGGTGCCAGGGCTGAAGGAGACAGGAGCTTCCAGGGGAAGACACAGGAGAAACAGAGTGGGCCAGCTCAGCCTGAACCCCTCTTCTTTCTCACCCAGATTCTTCCTGTCCTTCAAGGCCCACTTCATCCCTCCCTCCTCCAGGAAGCCTCCCTGACAGCTCCTGGCCTCACAGATCTCTCCTTCTCAGAACTGTGGCCAAGCATACTCCCTGGGTCAAGAAATCAAGAGTTGGTCCTACGATTTGCCTTTCACTCACTGATATCTGAGTTTGGTCTGTGTCTGTGACTGAAATGATCTTTCTCAGTCTTCTAGGACTTACGTCTCTTCTTGTTTCTCTTTCATTAAGGGCTTCCATGTACAGTTGGACAGGTTGCACACTACACAAGGATGCCCAACCAAAGGAATGAGTGTGGTCTGAAATTCCGGCCACACAGCTCCTCAAGCCCTGCACCCACTGAGCTGCATACACCTAAATGAGGGTCCCTTTTTCTAATGAACACAAAGGCTCCATATGGCCTGGCAGAGGTCCTGCTCTCATCATAGCTGAGCACAGAGGTAGACCCATGGTGGAGATAAAGAAATCAATGAGGACAGTGAAGGTCTCAACTTCCCTGACTGGGTCATGTGGCAGAGAACGGGGTCAAGAAGGAGCCCTGAGCTCAGGGCTGGACCTGGACCTGGGAAAGCAGACACCACTGGGTCCCTAGGGAGGGATAGACCTCTGGGTTTGCCTAGCTGGAGCCTGGGAATGCCCAAGTGAGGACACCAGTGCGGGCAAGGCTGGCAAGGCATCAGAGGAAGCCATGTGCTGCAGGTGGGCCCTCGCTGCCCAGGAGGCTCACCCAGCGCCTGGGTACCCTCCTGCTGTGTGGAGAAGAGGAGCCCCAAGGCCTCATCTCCAGAGCAAGTTCAGAGCCCTAGGACTCTCTGCTGGGACGGCTTGCTTTCCCCCAGGAAGTCCCAGAGAGAGAAGCAGGAAAGAACCTGGTTGCCTGGGCTCACCCTTGGGTGGAGGGGCAGGAGTCTATTTCGCACAGTTTCTTGGCCCAGGCAGAGCTGGCTTCTCCCCAGGTAGAACTGTGCTCCTGGGTGGGGCGGGTGCAGTGTAGGCAATCAGGCTCCCCCCATCTGAGCTCAGGCCTCACGCTCCCCACTTCCAACTCTGAGGCATCTCTCTCGAGCATGTGGGCTGGGGTTTGGGGGAGGCCCTTGTCCAGCCCCAAGAGTTCAGAGCCACCACTCCAAGCCCCCCCAGCCTGCATCCCGTCACCTGACTAGATGCTCAATCCTGCTGCCCAGGCCCAGCCAGGGCAGGGGCTCAGTGCACTGTCGCTGGAGCAGCCTGACCATTTCCCACCCACCCCAGACCAGGAGCCACTCTCACCCCCATGGATCCCCTCCAGGGCCCCGTCTGGGGGGATCTCTGGCCCTGTCTGTACCACCAGGGTCCCCCATCTATCCCTTAGCCCAGTTTGGCTGAGGCTCACGGACCCTCAAATGTTGGAGGTCTGAGCAACAGGAATTGGGCAGAGCCAATGTTTGGCTGATGGCTTATGGACCTGGGTTTTGTGCTGCGGGACAGAGGGGATGGCACAGACACAAAGAACACCAGCTCAGGGAGGGTGGATCCTGATTGAAGAGGCACAAGCAGGTGTTAAATGATGCAAAGGAGGAAGAGAGAGTTGGCGCAAGGCCTCAGAGGGCGTGGTATTTGAGTTTGAAAGATGCTTGTCATCTCTTTAGGCAAAGAAACAGAAAGGGAGCTCCAGGTAGAGGGAGAACAGGAGGAAGTGGAGTACTCGACAGGCAGTAGACAGTGTGCCTGGGGCCAGGCAAGCCTTCCAGCTTGACTGCAGCCCAGAGGGTAGGTGAGAGCAGGTTACAGCAGGCATGGGAGGCACTAGGGAGCCATTAAGGGTGTTTGAGCAGGGCAGTGTTCTGGATTTTAGGAGATTTCTGTGGCTAGATTTGAATAACAATAAGAGCAGTAACTAGTACTTACTAAGCATTGACTAAGTACCAGGCACTGTTTGTTCCATGTATTAACTCAGTTATTACCTAAGAGGTGGGTGCTGTTAGTATCCCCCTTGTGTAGACAAGGAGATCAAGGCTCAGAGGGGCTAAGTATCTTGCCCAAGTCCCACAGTTAGTAAAGCGGCAGAGCCAGGATTCGAACTGAGGTCATGTGGCTCCCGTGCCCGCATCTGACCGAGAGGGGAGAGGTGAGGAGTATGTGAAGGAAGGTGTTAAGTTGAACCCTATGAAACCGCCATTTCTGTGCATCAGAAACAGTCACTGGGGAGTGGGAACGCCAGGCCATGTCTCAGGGGTATTTAGGAGGAAGCATTTACACACCTCGATGTGGGGGAGCAGAGGGCAGGGGAGTTTCCAGGATGATTGTAGGGTTCTGGGCCTATTCCAAGATGAGGGGTGAGGACCAGAGTCAAATGTAGCCCAAGGAAGCTGAGGCTTGGTCTTGGGCAATTCAGAGGTGATGGTGGACACTCGGGGACAGAGGTTGGACTGCAGAGTGGTGAGGACACCGCGACAGAGAAGGAGCAAGACAATTGTTTCCAGAAATTTGGCTCTGAGCAGGAGCCTGCAAAGGGCGCCGTCCAGAGGGCAGGGCAGAGCGCATCTCTGAGCGAGAGGGAAAGGCTGACTGTCTTGGTGTGTGTGGGGGGGTGTGTGTGTGGGCCTGAGGTCCCGGGGGGCCTGGAGCCCTGCTTCCCGACACTGTCCCCCACCCACACGGAAGGGCCTGCAGGTCACCCTGGCGCTGGCCTCACGTGGCGGGAAGCCTCCAAGTCCGCCTTCCAAGCAGCCCTTTGAAGTGGTGGGGAGGTGTGTCACATCCTGGACAGCTGCCACAGGCTTTATTTGTGTCCCCAGGCTCTGGCGGGGAGGCTCAGTGTTAGTGACGGGTGGATAACACACAGGCCCATGTCAAGCTGGGCACATAACCTGGCCAGACGGGCCTCCGGGGCCAGGAAAGGGCCAGCTCGGCTTCTAAAGGTCAACTGCGTGCCCATAGAAGACCCCGGATGACTCATCCACCCCCATCAGACTCAACCTCTTCAGCCAGGTCCTGGCACCATGGGGGCAGCTGGTTAAGTGGGACCAGGAGATGGAGTCCCAGCCACTGTCACCAGTGCCCGCCAACCCCAGCTCCAGCCTGCTGGGACACACGGAGGCACAGAGGGGGACCACTGCCCAGAGCACCCCAAAGCTTCAGCGCACCATCTCCCTGGGTGTCTGACTCACACAGGAAGAGGTGAGTGCAAATGCACCTCCTTGGGATTCCCCTGGGCTCCCAGCTTCCTGCTCCCACCTTTGGTGGGGGAGGCGGCAGGAAGCGTGACTTGGTAAGTGAGCTAATCCACGAGCTAAGTAAGTGGATTCTAACAAAGCTCTTCATTCTTCCCTGCAGTGGAAGAAGGAGCAGCAAATTCTAGATGCCTCCACATTAGCGGCAGTACTCCCCCATCACCCTGGCCCTGCCACGCACCCAGCTTTATCCTAAATACCCAGCCACATAGCCAGCTGCAGGCGCCTGGCCTCAGCCCATGCCCAGGCCCTGAGGCACCCAAGGACGCAGCTTCAGATTAAGGCCGTAAGCCAGGTCAGGATCTGTGTCCTCACGGGGTTCCTGGGCCCCTCCCTACTCTGTGGCTCCTCCCACCCCACACACGCGCAACGGGGACATGGGGAGCCCACAGGCTCTCGGCCAGGGAGGGGAGCAGGGGCACACCCTTGCTGACAGCAGAGCTGCTTTCCAGGTGGTCTGAACCTGAATCCTCCAAACAACAGCTCCCTCCCCCAGGCCTGGGTGGGGCCTCCATCCCTGCTGGGTGACCCAAGCCGGCCAGGCCGCAGCCCCAGCCCCTGGGGAGGCACGCGAGCATTTTTCCTTCTCCAGTTTCGGTTGTTGATGGAGAACAGATGTGCACACAACTGGCTTGGCAACACCCCAGCCTCACCTTTCCAGTTCCCCAAACCCTCAGACAGAGCAGGGCGTGGGGGATGGTGCCAGGGCCAGGAAGAACAAGGGAGAACTGGGCTCTGGGGCCCACACAGGCGGGGCATCCTTGGCGGCATGTGGGGCACAGGGAGGCCGGGCTCCTCGGCCAGGGTGCCCAGACTAAACAAAGACAGAAGGGTCTGGGCAGAGGCAGCCGAGGGCCGAGTCCTCAGGCCATGCTGGGCCGGGCTGAGCACTCCCACTCAAGAGAACAGGACCTGCTCATCTTCACGGAGACTCTGAGGCCAGCCAAAGACAACAGGGGCGGCGTGTTTCTACAGCGACTCCCCCACCAGGCTTTCTGCCTCGGGTTCTCTGCTGCCCCTGCCCCAGCCTGCCCAGAGAACCCGACACTTGCTGATACCGCACCCTAGATGGTCACCACAGAGACCAGTAACCCCTGGAAGGCAGGCTCGACTTCCCTCAACCGCTCGCCCAGCACTCTCCATCCTGGCTACAGGCCAGAACCGCCCGGAGAGCCACCCCAGACCGGCTGGATCTGAATTTGCAAGGATGGGGCCCAGGAATCTGTATTTCAAATACACCACACAGACGCTTTTTAAGTGACCAGACTGGCCCAGGTCCCCCACCTCAAGTATCTTAACACCAGGGCAAGGGCTGTTCTCAAGAAACCAATGAGGAGACTGAAGCCCAGAGAGGCTGTGACTTGCTGAGGGTCACACAGCAAATGAGTGGTGGAGTTCATCTTAACAGCCCTTGCCCAGGGTGGTCTTCCCTGTCCCCCCATCAGTAACCTCTGCCACATCCCGCTCTGCCGGCCCAGAGCCAGGCGTTCCAACTTACCCCTCCGGCTGGAGCTCCCGGCCGCCCTGGGGCTCATCGATATACCAGCTGTCGTAGGAGTCGTCATCTGTCGCCCCAGAGGATGTCTGGTTCCCTGCTGCCTGGAATGACATTCTCTGGCCCTTCTCCTATGACCCCCAGACAAGAGGAAAAAAGCTACTACAGATGTGAAAAGAGGCTTGGGGGGAAACAAAAAGAAAACCAAAACAAAGGAATGTTTCTCTTTAATCCTAAAGGTTACTTTCTTGCTTTCCACTCTCTGGGAAAAACCCTTCTGGGAGTGAGTGAGGGCCTGGGCGGCTGGCACAGGAGGAGGGGAAGGGCTTCTCCTGTCCCCTCCCGTCCCTTCCCGCCCAGTCTCGCCCGGTCCTGCAGGAGGTAGTTATCCCCCTTAGGGAGTGCACCCCTCGGGGTCCTGGGCTCTGCTGGAGCACCTGTCTGTCTGACCGGCCACCAGCAGGCCTTTGCTCAAGGGACCATTTGCAAGGAAGGTTTGTCCAACCCGAGCTGCGCACAGAGACGCCCCCTTCCTTCCCCCCCCACCAAACCCACCCAAACAGACCCACAGACACAGCTCGAGGAAGGGCCAGGGAGGAAGGAGCTGCAGAGATGAAAGGGTGGGCGGGCTCAGCACAGCCGCCTGACCCTCCCGGCTGGACTCCCGGCCCCTCCAATTTCCCTCTGTTTGGGCTCCCTTGAGACCACCCCCCAGCCTCAGCTGACCCCTTGCTGGCCTCTTTCGGCCTCAGTGATGGAGACACACCGCTGTCCTGACAAAGCCCCCTCCCGGAGGAGGAGGCCCAGGCTCCACAGGCGGCCTGAGCCTGGAGGAGTGTGGCTAAGAGAGCCCCGGACTGCACGCACATACCTGCCTTCAGCACCTGCCCCAAAGCTCCCACACCTTCGCCCATCACAGCTGCAGTGCCCCACACAGGAGTCCGGCAACCCAAGGAGACTGCAGGGGCTGGGCCAGCGGAGGCAGGGGGCCAGCCTGTCCATCCCTTCTCCTGGGTTTCCATGAAGGAGGCAACATGCGTCTCACTGGTGAAACCTTTTTATTTCTCCCACTTGATCTCACAAGGAGATAACTCACCCCCCACAAGGCGGAAATTAGTGCTTTAAACGCGAACCAGACCCACGGGTTGACAAGAAGAACCCCGCCTGCCTCCTGTTCCTCCCCGGGGTGTGTTGGGGGTGGTGAAGGAGGCAGGGCCTGGGCAGGGGATGGGGGTTCCTCTCCATCACTCCTGGCTGGCTCCCCTCCCCATCTTGGCCCCAGCCCCGGGGGGGGGGGGCAGGCAGGGGGTGCAAGATGCAGACAAAGGCAGAGAGCAGTTCTCAGGCCCCTAGCCCTGGGTGGGGGTCTGGCCCCCAGGACTTTTGAGGGTCCCTGTCCTTCCAAGACCCCACAGGGGGCCTGGGCCATGGCCCTACCCAGCTAAGGCCTTTGTTCAACAAGCTTTTTTTAAATAAGATAATCATCCATTTGTTTTTTTAACATAAATTCATTGAACACCTACTAAGTGCCAGCACTGTTCTGGGCCCTGGGACGTGAGGGTTTACAGTTCAGAGAACACAGACGAGTAAGTCAATCACCTCGAGTCTGAGGGTTATGAAGGGAAGGCACAGAGTGCCCTGACAGGTCCCATGGGAGATGGAATTGAGTCCGAGAGAATGGAGGGATTCCTAAAGACGGAAACCTCTCAGCAGAGATCTGAGGGTTGAGCAGAGGGTGGGGGTTGAGGGTGGGAGTGGGGTGGGGGAAGCATGTTCCAGATAGAGGGAACAGCATGGGTGAGGTTCCGAGGCGACAGGGTTTGAAATCCTAACGGCTCCCCAACCAAATTCCATAGCCAAACCCACGAGGCCTTCCGAGGACCTGAGTGCTCTGCTGGCTCTGGTTCCTCCCCCTCCTTCTCAAATGGCCCCTCTTCCAGAAAGAGGGCTCTGACCACCCCTCCCTCACCCACAGTGACGTCAGCGTCTGCTGACTCAGAGCTGAACCTGAACTTTATTTGATGCAATGTAGGAGCCCACACGGCCCGCCCACCAGTCTGATCCCAGGGACTGGGGTGAATCCTGACCCCAGGCCTGGCTGTGAGCTCCTGACGACAGAGCTCTGCCTCTTCCCCTCCTCCTCCTCCTTCCCCTGACGCAAGTGCCTGGCACTGGGGTCACAGGGACTTTATAAAGTGGGTTTGGCAAAGCCATTACTTGTTCTGGCAACCATCACTCCTCCACGGGCCTGGCCCTTGCAGCCTACTTTGTGTCCGGGGTTTCTCCAGCCGGGCTTTCCAGAGCCCTCTGCTCCAACGCCAGAGCCCAGCATTCCCTTCACTGCTGGGACCGCAGCTTAGGGAGCAACCAACTCTACCTCGTTTTAAATCCCCCGCATGATGCCTCCAACAATTGGAGTCCAGTCTGTGATGGGGCTCTCTCTCCCTTCATGTCTACCCATGAACATCTCTGCCTGTCAGAAACCACTTCCTTCCCTGGAGGGAGCCTGAATCTGCCTCCCCAGCCTGGTTGATTCATTCATTCATTCATTCATTCAACAAATGTTGAAGCACGCTGATTATGTGCCAGGCAAGGTTCTACGTGCTGAGAAGACAGCAGCGGGCACAATAGGTAAAGTCCTGCACCTCAGGGAACCTAACGTGTGGGGGACGGGGGGAGACAAAACATGTGTCATGAGTGCTGGGAGGGACAATAAAGTGGAGTGAGAGAAGAGACGTCGGACTGGAGCTGGTGTGTGAGGCTGGATGGTCAGGAGAGGCTCCGCCGAGGAGGCGTTATTTGAGCAGAGACCTGAAGGAGGAAAGGGGGGACCCAACTGGGCACTGAGGAAAGACATTCGGGCTGCCCGAAGGGCATCCATCAGCCTCAGGGTCTGCGGCCACGCCAGCAGGGAGGGGCCCCAACCAAGTCCAGGCACAGTCCCTTCCCCACAGCACGCCTCCCCGAACCAAAGCCTGCTCTGCCCCCAAAGGGACTTCCAGTGGGCACTGCGCCTCCCTCCAGGGTTAGCTCAGTGTCCATGGTATCACCTCCCTCCTCACAGGCCAGGATGCAGAGGCCACCTTCAGGGAGGCCCTAAGCAAGGGTGAGGAAATGGCGAGCTTTGTCCCTTTCTCCAGGCATAGGCACAGCGGGCAGAGGGCAGCCTTGTGCCAAGTTACCTTGGTCAGGGCCAGGCTGGGAATGGGGAGGGGCAGATCCAGAAGGAAAGAGCATGATTTCTATATGGCAGTGGGAAATACCCCGGTTGGGGGGACAGCCTACCCGGGTTGGAGCCCTGGAGCTGGCTGTGTGACCTTGAGTGATTCCCTTGGCCTCTCTGGGTCTCAGCCCTGCCTCTGTCCCAGGAGGAGTGGGTCATCCAGCCTGGAGATATTTGACTGTGGGCTCTCCTCTCTCCAAGGCCCCCACTCCCTGTCCTCAATGACTTCATGGCCCAAGAATGTGGAGCCAGCACACCAGGCACTGGCTGTAGCAAGAAGGTCAGAGCCACAGAGAGTGGCTGTGACTGCCCAGGCATCCCCCTTTGTCTTCCACCCACCCTCCTGGCCCCCAACGCCCCCATCCACTCGGGGGGCAGGCAGGGAGGCAGGCTGGGTGGAAGATTATGGATACTTGGTGGCCGCATGGCTCAGGCTGGGAGGGGGACCCCAAAGTACTTCCTCAGCTCAGAGCTAGAATAGCTTGTAGCTCGCATCTGCACAATGGGAGGGTTAGCTCTGAGGTGTTAGGAAGGATGCCAACTGGCCAGACTGCAAGCTGGCAAGGAAAAGTATTGAGAAGAGAAAGATGGTAATGATCTGCTCCTGAAGAATTTCTCTGAAGGCCTGGCTGAGTGTCCAGGGCCTGCTCCCTGGAGTTGGCTTTAGAGGGGGACTCTATCCAGAAGAGTCGGAGATCAGCACCTGCCATCAGGAGAGGAGAGACTGGAGAGTGGAGGTACTCAGGAGACAGACAATAGAAGCTCCCAGAAGACAGGAGGAGGGAGGGGCGGTAAGGAGATAGTTTAGGCAGTCTTGGAGGCTTCCTGGAGGAGGGGACCTGGAGTAATGCCCTGAGGTCAGACAGGGTCAGCAATGGTAGCAAGAATGAGATATAAGCATCTTAGGAGAGTTGAGAAGGCGAGTCTGGGAGCCAAGGAGAGAGCAGGGCAGGGGTCAGGGCTGCCTGGCTGTGGCCTGCACGAGCCCATAGGGGCGCATTCAGACGCGGCCAACGCCAATACCTAAGGAGCAGCCCAGGCAGCAGGGCTCCCCGCCGGACACAGACTAGGGGTGGCTAAGCCCTGCTCACTGTGGGAGGGGGTCACCAAAGCCTCTGGGCTCTGAACAGACTAAGGCCACCTGCCAGCTGGGCTTGGCATGGAGCTGCCCCGCCTGCCCCTCTGGCTGGAGCTGGCCCCTGAAGGCCTTGGGACAGGGCTTCCTTCCTCCCCATGTTTTTGTTCAAGTTGATTAAATCTGAGGAATTTCTGTGTCCAGGAACAGAGGCCCGCGTGTGTGCCTTCAGCAGCCTGTGGTTATCGAAATCCTCAAAGGGCAAAGTGCTAAGCTCGAAAGGAGTCAACAGTGGGCCGGAAGGAACGGGGAAGGCCAGCGGCCCCAGAACCTCACCAACACCCCCAGGACTCCCAGCTCCTCTGGGGCACCTCCAGAATCTCAGCAATATCCCCAGAATCTTTGTAACATGACAAGAACCCCTGGAACTTGAGTATCACCTCCCGTGAACCCCCAGAACTCCAGTAACACACCAGAACCTCTGAAACACCTCAGAACCTCGGCCACATTCAAGGACCCTCAACCTCTGGTGGATCAAGCACAGGTTGGGGCAAGATGGTGGAAACCATGGTCAGCAGTTGCAGAAGACCCAGAGACCCCCACTGCTCACCACCCTCCTGTCCCAGCCCCGGCCTGGCTGAGTCCAACTGCCCCCCGAAAAAGGTCTACCACGCCCAAACCTCAGAGCCTCAGCAACACCCCCAATCCCCAGCAGCATAGCAGAGAATGCCCAAGGCGTGCTCCAGTCCAGGAGTGGGGGATGGCCCACGCGCCTACCTGCGCAGCCCAGCCCCCCATGAGCCCATGGATAAGTGGCCGAGGCAGGTGCAAACCCATGCAGGCCAGTGAGCTCCGGGTCTGCCCTCATCTCCACGGTGCACTCACATGCACACACATTGAACAGCCCCCAGCACACACAGGTGCCTAACCTTGGCCTCCAACCGAGCCTGACCCCATGCAGTGGCTGGAAAGCAGTGTTGTCGGCTGCTAAGCTCATGAGAGGAAAGTGTGGATGGCTCTCCCCACTTGTCATAGGGGAGCATCAGAAGCATCATTGGACATGACTTTCCTGGAATTCTCCTGTCCCTCCGCCAATAGTGTCATCATAGCATGAGGGATTTA